ATGAAAAAAATAGTAACTTCAGTACTTTTTCGCCTAAATAAACATTTTAAGGTTAAAATTGTTCAAATACTAAATTTATTTTTTATTGTACTTGTTTCTGATTGAAATAAATGCAAGAAGAATGCTTTAGAATTTTCTTCTGCCGAGTGAAGGCAGTGACGCTCACAAAAAAAAAAAAACAACTCGTGAAATTTGCTCATATTCGATAAACAAGTTAAAGTGCAATAATGTCCTTACCTATTTTTTTATTTGAATTTAAACAAATTATTTTGACTAGAATAAATGAAATTCCCTGTATTTTTTAAACTAAAGTAAATTTTTGTTTTGTTCTAAGGCGACCTTTAAGGCGTCCCTTATCATTTTCCAATTGAGCTCAAATTTGGCGTTCTGTCACGACTTCCAGGGATATAACTTTCATTGACCCGTGGACATTATTTTAGATTTAATTTGCTCGCTGATCCAAAATTTGCAAAATAAAATGCCCGGAAAGTCGTATGGAGGATACTAGTGTCATGAATCAAATTATTATTCTATTTGGCGCTAAAAATCAGCCAACATCCCGTTTTTTCATAACTCTTTTATATGCATCTTGATTTTAAATTATGATATAACGTTGAAAAGATATTTTTAAGTATGGCCAAGCCGATTTTGGTTTTTATCACATAGCTAGGACACACATTTTTATGCTCTCAAAATTTTTCGAAAATAATGGAGGAAGCAGATTAATGTACTTCTTCGTAAAGCAATCATTGCCTTGAGCACAGAATAGCTTTGTTGCAATTCCATGCATACGTATAATCTTATCGCATTTTTCTTATCTTGTGCTGATATTTACACTTATGCAGTTTTTCCGTTTCCGATTAATTACATTTGCACAACCCAGTCATATTATATCTATGTACATATGTACATACATTAGACTGCATCACCAAAAAAGTTGCAGTTTTTCAACCGGAATTACAATATTTATTATATTTTAAGACGTCCACCAAAATATTTCGGAAAAATATTAAGATTTAGGCGAGATGGACCCATTTGAAAATACTAACAAAAAATGAGTTTTTTAATGAATAAAAATAGTTTCTTAAAGAACTTTTTGAAAAAATTCCCGTCAGATGACAAAACAGATTAGGCTTAAAAAATCAGCATACAAGTATTTAAAAATCTTTTCAACAGAATCGTAATAATGAGATTTTTGATTTAAAGTTTTTCTTATACCAATCTTCAAAAAAAAAATTAAAAAGCGACATGAAAAATCTCGTTGTTACGATTTCGTTCAAAAT